AATTGCAGAAACAATCTCTTCTACCCCAGAGGAAAACCTAACATTGTTGGAGTTAATGAAAAGGTATGTGATCGCAAACATGGCTTTATCTTCCTAAGGGATTAGGAAGATTTCAAAATTTGCTTTATATTTACTTGATTTTTGCATTATATGCTATCTTTTAACATCCTAATCCCCAGATCAGATATGACTATATATATTGTATAATCAAATAGCATTTTCTGTGAGGGCTGTACAACAGCATGGATATTTTGAGTAAATGCTTCAGAGAGAGATTTGTGGCACAGAAAAGTCTGTTTCTTTTAAGAGTCAGCCAGTGACCCAGGGCCAGTTACACTATTTCTAGTTCAGTTTCCTCCACTGTGAAAGTGAGAGTCTCAGACTGGATGGTGGGTGTCTAAAGTCCCTTCATGCTCTAACTTGTGAAATAGATTGCTGTACCAAAAGCAAGATGGCGAAAGGAAGACCTGACATTTAGAACAAACTGGAAGTTTGCTTCCCTGTCACTGACTTCTGAAAAACTAAAGTTCATTTCCATAGTGTGAGAGTGCCAGGGAGAGAGAATTTGATCTGAGCCAAGGATATCAGACAATGCTTCTTAAATCTTCTGTCTTTTCTGATGGTGGCAGAGAGTGAACCTACACCTAGTCCCAAGGGTTTGGGGACCTAGTCCAAAGCCTTAAAAGCATGAAAGCTTTTTGAAGTCTGATGTTTTATCTTTAAAAATTCTTGGAAATTTTGCCTTCCCTGTAATGTATATTTTTTTTCATTAAAAAGGCTTCCCTCTAAACTATTGAATAAAATGAACTCTTTAAGAAGATGCGCCATGTTTATTTATCCTATTTGTTTGCATACCCTTTGCCATACTACCATATGGGGAGATGGAAGTGGGGAAGGGGAGTACAAGTATGCTGAAGTATCTGTGTTCCAGACTTTGTGTGGTTGGAGCTAAAATGGATATCTTCTCAGGCATATCTGGTTGATAGGAAAGAGAGCCTACTTGCTGTAGATAGGTATATCTGAGCATCTTGGTAGTAAAATGGAAAACATTATTGCTTTAGGATCAGATCTGAGTTTAGACCCACCTCTGGCATTTTCTGAAGTGTAATACTGTTTCACTGTGTGTAAAGTAGGAATAATAATACTTGTCTTGGAGAGTGAGATTTATTGCACTGTCCTGTGTTTTGCTTTGGCATGATAGGCACTCAGGTGCTAGCTATTATATCCTTCTTGGTTACTGGTGAATTGGCACATGCTCTTAAATTTTGCATTCATGGGAGCACTAGATAAGGTCTAGTAGCCACTTACGAATATTTAGTTTGACCTATGGTCTTTGACTAAAAATCATGTTTATGAAACTTGCACATCAGCTTTGACATCTTAACTATATATATGTATACACACACACATATACACACATATATACACACACACACATCATATTGTTTTTACAGATGAAACACATAAATCAAAATTAACCAAAATGTTAGTAGTGAAATACTTAGATCATTTTTGGTAACAATATCTTTAAAATGGTTGGTATATCAGACTATGGATGTTCTCTAGCATCAAAGCAGTGTTAATAAATAATAACCAGCAGTCTAATGATTATTACTGTTTATGGTAATTGTGTTCATAAAACTTAATATATTTTCTACAGTGGCTAAGCCTCTTTTTCTGAATTATTAGCTTCATTCTTCTTTCTGTGTGGGCTATTGGGAAAGCCTTTGAATTAGGGCTCTGAAGTGATGCATTGTCACTCCTTCCTTCTTTTATGTGTACTGTTAACTTTATCCAAAGAGCACAAAGAAATTAGAAATAATCTTATCTGCAAACAGTATTGAAACCTGTTTAACTTGTTCTTACATTTTTCTCCTGGTATTGGAGTTTAGATTCTAGATGAAGATTTTGTTCATGAAAATTAGGAAAATATACTAAGCAAACTTAAAGATGTTTTACTTAGTGAACTGGATCTGAAGTAGTATATAACTTAAAATTAAAATAAAAAAACTTTAATTTTCACTTAACGTTTAATTAGAGACCATTAATTGAAATTTCTAGTGACAGTGAAAGTAGCATAGTTTTTTTTTTCAGGGTTTCTTTAGTTCCTTTTTTTTTTTTTTAAGTAGGCTCTATGCCCAGTGTGGAGCCCAAGATGGAGCTTAAACTCAAGACCCTGAGATCAAGACCTGAGTTGAGATCAGGAGTCAGACTCCTAACTGACTGAGCCACCCAGCTGCCCCTCAGGGTTTCTTACATCTCTAATTTAAACCAAATGATGAACAAAAATTTTCTGAATGAGAATAATATTGTAAATGAAATACTGTAAACAAGTCATTATTTGTCACATTTCACTGTGACAACCCAAACAGTACTCTTCACAGAATTAATAATGCAAAAATAATGAAAAGTAGCCTCATTTAAAAGAATAATCTTTTTTAAAGATTTTATTTATTTATTCATGAGAGACAGAGAGAGAGAGAGAGGCAGAGGGAGAAGCAGGCTCCCAAGGAGAAGGGAGCCCGATACGGGACTCGATCCCAGGATTCTGGGATCATGACCTGAGCCGAAGGCAGACGCTTAACCATCTGAGCCACCCAGGCGCCCTAAAAGAATAATCTTAAATTGTTGTTCATTCCTTTTGAACCAGATTGCAAAACACTATATTAACATAAAGTAGAAATTGTTATTTTGATGAACCTTTTTTTTTTTTAAGATTTTATTTATTTATTTGACAGAGAGAGACAAAGCGAGAGAAGGAACACAAGCAGGGGGAGTTGGAGAGGGAGAAGCAGGCTTCCCGCTGACCAGGGAGCCCCATGAGGGGCTGGATCCCAGGACCCTGGGATCATGACCTGAGCCGAAGGCAGACGCTTAACGACTGAGCCACCCAGGAGCCCCTATTTTGATGAACCTTAAGCATAAGACTTGTATATATTACTGCATTTTTTGAAACGGATACCTTTGTGTTTAAGAATGTTTCATATGAGTTTTTCTTTTCATAACTAAAATTAATATAAAAAATAAAAATAAAATTATAGATTTCTCATGGTGGAGAAAAGAAATCACTCCAGAATACAAATTTCCACATGTGTTTAAAGACTTTGAGCTTCTTTAATTTGCATAATTTGAATAGCAGAGACTTGGTTTTGGTTAGGCTTGTGAAGACTAATTAGCCAATACAAGTAGATTCTTATTTCAACATTAACTTAAAAAAATCATTATATAGGCAGTATGAAATAACGGAAAGAATATGAAACCCAAATTCAGAAGAGTTAGGTTCAAATTCTGCCTCTTAATTATTTGTTCTTTGACAAAGATTTAAATATTCTGAGCTTCTTTTCCTTATGTCTACTTTCATAGCAATAATACTTGCCTTGCCTGTTTCACATGTTTGCTATGAAAATCCAATGAGATAACACACAAAAAAGAAGCATTTAAACAGTAAGATGAGGGGCATCTGGCTGGGTCATTTGGTAGAGCATGCAACTCTTGATCTTGGGGTTGTAAGTTCAAGCCCCATGTTGGGTGTAGAGATTACTTAAAAATAAAATCTTAAAAAAAAAGGTAGGGTGAAATTGGTCTAAACAAATAATTCCATATACCTCCATCGAAAGTGAGGTTCAATTCTAGAATGTTAGAACTAGCAAGCATCTGGGATTTTCTAGCCAAGTCCTCTTATTTTACAGATGAAGAAACTAAGACAGGGTTATCCAATAAGCTTTGTAGTGGCAAACTAAGATGCATTTCTCAGGGTGGTTAAGGAGATACAGGCTTTGAAATTAGTTGTATAAAGGTGTGAAATCACAATTTTACCATTGACTTAGAATAGCTTCAGGCAATGTAACCTAAGCCTATTTCTTTATCTGTAAATTGGGGCTTAGTATTAACCTAATCTATTGGATTGTTGTAGTAAAGGAGATATGCATATGCAAAATGCTTAGCACACTTATGAACATGATATACACCTAATAAGTGGAGCCTCTAATATTACTATTATTTTTAATTATTGCACAGAATCTTTCAGAACATTATTCACTCCCTGTGCTTAATTTGTTCAAAAAAAAAAAAGGCTAATGGCCAAGCTCTCTTTCGCTGAAACAGCCCAAACAGTACTCTTCGTGTGTCCCCATTGTGCATGTACAAGTATGAGGAAATTCCTTCTCTGTCACACTATTGAAGGCTATTCTAAACAGATTAAAAACATTAAAAAGCTTAAAAATAAAAAGTTGGAAGATCTAATATAAATGAGCATCTGTTTGTTGTCTAAGTGATAATTTAATAAAGAACTGAAATAGCTTATGCGCTTAAGAAGTATGACTGATGGGGGCGCCTGGCTGGCTCAGTTGGTTAAGCGACTGCCTTCGGCTCAGGTCATGATCCTGGAGTCCCAGGATCGTGTCCCGCATTGGGCTCCCTGCTCGGCAGGGAGTCTGCTTCTCCCTCTGACCCTCCTCCTTCTCATGCTCTCTGTCTCTCATTCTCTCTCTCTCAAAAAAATAAATAAAATCTTTAAAAAAAAAAAAAAAGAAGAAGTATGACTGATGGAGAAGAGCATGTGACTCCTGATCTAAGGGTTGTGAGTTTGAGTCCTACGTTGGGTGTGGAGATTACTTAAATAAATAAATAAACAAACTAACTTAAAAAAAAAAGTATGACTGATAGATCTTACGGGATATGAAAGTCATCAGTCACCCTTAGCACTTTCCTTGAAGAAAATGACACAACAGACTTGTTTCATTCAGCCCACAAATGTCTGTATTCCTTTTCTTTTTCCTTGTTAAATATCCCTGTCTATTTTGGTCTATGTAATGTATGTTCAACAGAGGCAGGACTGTCTTGTTCATCTAGTATGCTTGGTATGTTGCCTTGAACATGATAGGCACCTAAATGTTGATCTTTTAACATTTAGTGGAAGAAAAGTTGTATACAAAATTAAGTATCCATGCAGATATGGCATTTCAAAAGTTAGTTATAGATGTTAACATTTTTAATTTCAGATTTCCTTTTTTTCTGGGGAACTGTATTTTTGATAACAACAACTCTAGTTGCCCTTCTGAAAAAAGAAAACAAAGAAGTATCAGTAGGAAAAGAAGAAACCCAAGGGATCACAGATACTTACAAGTTGCTTTTTGCAATTATAAAAATGCCAGCAGTTCTGACATTTTGCCTTCTGATTCTAACTGCAAAGGTAAGATATTTATAAAACAAATGTACCACCCTGTTATAATTACCAATATCATGGAATACTTCCATTGCCTTTTCATATCATAAGTCCCTTTCCACTACTATTAGAATGTAACAATAAAAAACAGTATTTTCTGTTTATTAAATTTGTTTTAAAAGGTGTGATAATTTCAAAGTAACCGAAATGTCTTGGAATCTTGAAAAGAATTAAGCAAATTTGAAGTACTTCTAATAAATGTGAAATTTTACTTAATGATATTAATGCTTGGGATGGAAATGAATGCCTTGAAAAAAACAGCTCTGTACTGTTATAATGAGTGTACATTTAATGTCAGAGGTATCATAATTACTTAGAAAGTGATTTACAGACATATGGAAATATTTAAGTTTTAGAAGTCTATTTAAAAGTCAGTTGACTTATTTTTTTTTTAATGTTGGAAGGAAATATACCATAAATAAATGGGGGTTTTGGTAACTTTTATTCTTTATGTTTTCTGTATTAAGATGTCCTAGTTTAAAAAAAAAAAGTCCTAATCCTATAGTACAAAAACATTTCAAAGATACTATGCTAGAGGAAAGGTAAGTTTATTTCAGTATAGTAAGAGATTGCTAGTGTTGGAATTAGTATTGCTAAAATCTAAAATCCGGGGGCGCCTGGGTGGCTCAGTGGGTTAAGTGTCTGCCTTCAGCTCAGGTCATGCTCCCAGCAGGGAGCCTGCTCCTCCCTCTCCCTCTGCCTTTCTGCCTACTTGTGATCTCTCTCTCTGTCAAATAAATAAATAAAATCTTTTTTAAAAAATCTAAAATCTGTTATAGGAGTTTCATATTATAGCTCTAAAGCTATCTTTATAAATACTCTACAGCTGTCTTTACCCTGAAGTAAAAATTGGTAAAAATTATAGCCTCATTGTTTTTTTGTTTTTGTTTTTGTTTTTTTACGAGCCTCATTGTTTTTGAAATAGTGAATTTTTTTCCTCTCTAATGATAGGGTTACATTTTAAGGAAACATTGGGAAGGTTAAACTTAAGAAACTTAAGATTCAACTTTAGGAAATAATGAAAGGTTCAAGGAAGAGAGTAATATTCTCTAATTACATCATTTAGAGGTAATCATTGGTAACACTTTTGGTATATTTCCTTCCAGCCTTCTTTTTCCCCTTCGTGTGTGCGTGTTATGTGTGTGTGAGTGTGTGTATACACACTTTATATATATAAATATAATTAATAAGTTATAGTCAACAAATTAATATTAATACTATATATTTACATACAGATATGCATGTAAATAAAAATGGAATTGAATCATACCATATATAATTTTAATCTCATTTTTGTCTTATTACTCCATATTCCTTATCATTAAATAATTTCTGGAAACATACTTTTTAGGGGCACCTGGGTGGCTCAGTCAGTTAAGTGCCCAACTCTTGATTTCACCTCAGGTCTCCATCTCAGGGTCGTGAGTTCAAGTCCCACATTGGGCCCCACACTGGGAGAGGAGCCTACTTAAAAAAGAAAAGATACTTTAATAGCTATGTAATTGTCAGTGTATAGATTTGCTATAATTTACTCATTTTTCTATTGTATATTTGCTTATGTTTTTTAATTATAAAACTGCACTAGTGAATATTTTTGTGTATTTCCTTTCAATAGATTCTTAAATAGGCAATTAGTGGGTCAGTGAATATGATTGCCAAACTGCTTTTTAAAAGATTACAATTATACTGTTGATAGCAATGTATAAGGAGGTGCTTCAGTTACAGAATCTAGAATCTTGTGTTCCCCTTTTAAAGTAAATCTTGCCAAAAGTAACATCTCTCCTAACTTTTTTTTTTTTTTAAGATTTTATTTATTTAAGAGAGAGAGAGCATGAGAAGAGGGAGGGTCAGAGGGAGAAGCAGACTCCCTGCTGAGCAGGGAACCCGACGCGGGACTCGATCCTGGGTCTCCAGGATCATGACCTGAGCCGAAGGCAGTCGCTTAACCAACTGAGCCACCCAGGCACCCTCTCCTAACTTTTAATGTCATAGATTAGTTTTCTCTACTGTTTTTTTTTTTTAAGATTTTATTTATTCATTTGAGACACAGAGATAGAGAGAGAGAGAGAGCATGAGCCGGGAGAGTGGCAGAGAGAGAGAGGAAGAAGCAGGCTCCCCGCCGAGCCAGGAGCCCGATGTGGGGCTCCATCCCAGGACCCTGGGATCATGACCCGAGCCAAAGGCAGACGCTTAACCATCTGAGCCACCCAGGCGCCCCTATACTTTTGAGTTTTGTAATAAATGGAATATCCAGTATGCATTTTTATGTCTGGCTCTTGTATCCTTTCACTTAACATTATATTTGTATAATTTATCCATATTGTTACTTACAGCAATAGTTTGTTCATCTCATTGCTTATAATATTCCACTGTATATACATATGCTATAATTTATCCATTCTATCAACAAATGTTTAGTTATTTCTACTTTTGGACTATTATGAATAGTACTTCTATGAATATTCATGTACATTACTTTTGGTGAACATGAATGCACATTTCTGATGGGAAGAGAATTGTGGGTCATAAGAAATGTTTTATTAGATACTGCCGCACAGTTTTTCAAAAATGGTTGTTTCCCTTTTCCCTACTGTCGACAGTGTAAGGGAGTTCCAATTGCTTCACAGCCTTGAAAGACATATATTGTCCTTTCAAATTTAGCCTTTCTGGTGGGTGTGTAGTGGCATCTCATTGTGGTTATAATTTGCATATCCCTGATGATTAAAGCGGTTGAGCATCTTTTCTTATGGTTATTGGCCGTTTAAATATCCAGAGCTGCCTTTTTTTTTTAATTTGTAGAATTTTTATATATCCTGGCTGTTTTGTGTCTACAAATATCTCCTACTATGGCACTTTTAAGGTCAAGTAAATGTTGAAGTCAGTTTGTATATTTAAGTTTTACAAAGAGAATGGGTGAAATAGTAGTGAAATTCTTCTGTGGATTTAAGTAAAATATCATTGGCCTTTAATTTTTCTATGGTGAAATTTGCCCTTTGGCTCCATTCCAAGAAGTTAAAGTACATACTATTACCATTTCTTTTTTTTTTTTTTTTAAGATTTTATTTATTTATTTGACAGAGAGAGACAGAGTGAGAGAAGGAACACAAGCAGGGGGAGTGGGAGAGGGAGAAGCAGGCTTCCCGCTGAGCAGGGAGCCCGATGTGGGGCTCTATCCTAGGACCCTGGGATCATGACCTGAGCTGAAGGCAGATGCTTAACGACTGAGCCACCCAGGAGCCCCTATTACCATTTCTTTAAAGAATGTTTTTTAATATAGTTTCACACTTACTGAAAATTTGCTTATATAGTTGAAAGAATTCCCATATATCAAATCTCTAATTGTTAACAGTTAGTTCCACTTTCTGTATTCTTTTTTTTTTTTTTGAGACAGAGAGAATGAGAGAGAGAGAGCGCACATGAGAGGGGGGAGGGTCAGAGGCAGAAGCAGGCTCCCTGCCGAGCAGGGAGACCGATGCGGGATTCCATCCAGGGACTCCGGGATCATGACCTGAGCTGAAGGCAGTCGCTTAACCAACTGAGCCACCCAGGCGCCCTCCACTTTCTGTATTCTGTAGATTTATGCTCTATTACATATTTCTTCTGAAATATTAGAGTATTTGTACATATTATGCCCCTTTACCCATAAATACCTTGAGTATATATTTCCTAAGAACAAGGGTTTTCTTTTGCAATCCACAACTTAATCAAAAATTTAAGAATTTTAATTGATAAAATACTATTATCTAATCACAGCCTATACCCAAATTTCACCAGTTGTCCCAGTAACAGCCTTTATAACTTTACTCTTCCCTGGTCAGGGATCCAGTCCGAATCACACATTGGATTTAGTGGGTATCAGCCTTTTTTTGTCCTTCATGACCTAGATGTTTTAAATTTTTCTGTAGAATGGCCTTCCATTTATGTGTCTGATGTTTCTTCATGTTTAGGTTCAGGTAACGCAAATATGTCAGGAATATCATCCAAGTAATATAGGGATGACTTTGGGGAATTCTATGAGGAGCCTTATCATGTCCCTTTATCCCATTAACTGTTGTTAACTTTGATTACTTTGTTAACCCATTGTAAAGTTACTATTTTTCCTTTTGTAATTAAAAACTAATTTAGGGACGCCTGGGTGGCTCAGTCGGTTAAGCGTCTGCCTTCGGCTCAGGTCATGATCCCTGTGTCCTGGGATCGAGTCCCGCATTGGACTCCCTGCTCCGCAGGGAGCCTGCTTCTCCCTCTGCCTCTGTCTCTCTCTCTGTCTCTCATGAATAAACAAATAAAATCTTTAAAAAAATAAAAAATTAATTAAAAAAAAAACTAATTTATGGAGAGATACTCTGAGACTCTCTAAATACCTTATTTCACCCCAAACATTTACTCACTACTTTTAGCATCCTCCTTTTTGTTTGTTTTTAAAAATTAAACTACAGTTTTTCTTCCCTTTTATTTAATCCTTCAGATAGAATGTTTTCTCAAAATTACTTTTGAAATGTTAGATGATTTTTGGAAATTTTATTGTGATCAGTCAGAAATCATTAAAAACGTGTATATGTGGCAGTGATGCTTCATTTTAACCAGATTTTATTTGGAGTCAATTAAAGACTCTTTTTAAAACTTAAAACATAGAAATCAGTAAGTTTGGATTTGAATACTGTTTATTGTAAGAGATTGAACTTTTTGAAATTTAGTTGTAATTACAGCCATCTGCTGTTCCTAAAAGTGCTGAATTTTCAGTTGTTTTCACCGAGTATTGTCAGTAGACCATAGGACAAAGTATGCCTTCTGTAACTTGATTGTTGTACCAGGTAGAGTAATATATTTACTTGTAACTGCCGTAAATCAATAATGAGATTGAGGTTCTTGGAGAACTTACATATGCTTGAGGAAAATATTTTGTAAATCACAAATTAAAGTTTTGTTTTGTTTTTATATTGCAGATTGGTTTTTCAGCAGCAGATGCAGTAACAGGACTGAAATTGGTAGAAGAGGGAGTACCCAAAGAACATTTAGCCTTATTGGCAGTTCCAATGGTTCCTTTGCAGATAATATTGCCTCTGATTATCAGCAAATACACTGCAGGTCCCCAGCCACTAAACATATTTTACAAAGCCATGCCCTACAGGTAAAAATGAAATAAAACCTTACTAAATAAGAAAGGTTAAATGAGGAACATTCATCAGTATCACTAATAACTGTGTGTAAAGTATATATGGAAAAAGACTTGAAAAGCATCTTTAGCTTCAGCATCATTTATATGCACTTTTATCTCTTTTTAACCTCCTAACAGGTTTTAAATAACAAGCTACTTTCACATAGTAGGCATACAGATTTCTGTTTTTGTTGTTATTTTTTAACCTAAAATGGACGTCAACTCCATGTTTCTTTCTTTTTCTATAGATTATTGCTTGGATTAGAATATGCTCTACTAGTTTGGTGGACTCCCAAAGTAGAACATCAAGGAGGATTCCCTATATATTACTATATTATAGTGCTGCTGAGTTATGCGTTACATCAGGTAAGCTTGCTGTGGTTTTCTCAGAAGTAAACTTATTTTTGGAAAATAAAGAAGACATTTTTCTACAGTTGCCTTGAAATAATGATAATAAATTTTAAGACTTAAACATGAGTCTGACACTGAAGAAATTATTTGACAATGAACTTTAAACATTGTGGCTTTTGATTTATTGAGCTCTATTCGTAGAGAGTTTCTTCATTTCATTTATTTTGTTCATTCAACCAGTATTTGTTATATACAGAATTAATTACAAAGCTAGTAATTCTACCCTTCCTAAGTATTCCTCAGTCCATCCCTAGACTTGGGTTCTTTATTTCTTCAATTCCAGATGCCTTTTCTTTCTGAAAGTCTTGAAAAATAATGATGGTGGGCACCTGGGTGGCCCAGTTGTTAAGCGTCTGCCTTCGGCTTAGGTCAGGATCCCAGGGTCCCAGGATCGAGCCCCATATCGGGCTCTCTGCTCAGCGGAAAGCCTGCTTCTCCCTCTCCCACTCCCCCTGCTTGTGTTCCCTCTCTCTCTGTGTCTCTCTCTGTCAAGTAAATAAAATCTTTAAAAAAAAAAAAAAAGAAAGAAAAATAATGGTGGCTACTGGGCAACAGATCCCAGGTTTTTGGTTTCAATTCTGTACTGAAAGTTAAGACTTACTCTTTGTGATTTTGAAAATTGTGTGTTAATCTGCTTTCTCTTTCTTTATTAGCTATGTTTGTAATCCCTCACCTAAGCTGCTGTTGCAGAATGGGGTTGTGTTCTGGGGGCAAGTGATTTCAAGTAAACTTGTAGACACCCAGCAGTAAACTTTGGGACTTGAGTGCAGTTATTACAAATGTGTATCTAAGAGTCACTTTGGATTTTTCTATGGAACATAGTTTAAACTTATAATTACAAACTCCTCACTTGTTTTTAACTGAAACCTAAAAATGTGGCTACCAAGTAATCTCAATAATTTTTTACATACAGTTATATCATTTGGGAGAACTCCATAATGGATCTGTCCAACTAACTATATTTAAAGAAGTGCTTTAACTTAATAAATGTTTCGTTATCTGTGTAAGTAAAAGAAAACTACAGTGTAGTAGTCCAAAAATCGTTTGTTTGGCTTTGGATTTGATTAGAAAATTTTCTTAAGTGTAGCTATTGATGCTCAGACAGCCAGATGCTTTCTGGGAAAAACTGTACAAAGCCAAGTAAATTTGAGAAATGATACCTGACATAACCCTCCTTTTGTAGCATCTTAGTCATCAACAAATACTAATTGGACACTTGTTCCATGCCAGAAACCATTCTAAGCGCTAAAATAGAACTAAATAAATCATGCCAAAATCCCTGTCCTTAAGGAGTTTATATCCTAAAGGCTTTCAGAGGCCTACAGTGAAAGGGACCTGTTTATTATTTTGTGTAACTTAGTGTTTCTCAGTCTTTTTTGACTCTGGAATACCTTTTTCTATGAACGCCCCATGGAACAGTATTCAAAGGAAAGCGATTTTGGAAACATGGTTTGTTTCCATGTTTCTAAATGGAGAGTTAATTCTTGCCTCTTAAGTACTTTTTGCCTCTTAAGGAGATTTTTCTGTTCAGTTTGTCTCATAAATTTTGAAATGTTATCATTCTTCTGTATATGTAAAAGAAAAAATACATATACTTACATATTCATTCACATATATACTTATATATACACACAGGATATATTTAGGGACAATACAAATATGGGGTTTTGCTAATTGCTGTATGCATCCTTCAGTGCTACCCTGTTTGTCATTTTCTCTATTGAGCTTTCTTTGACTACTTACTGTAGAATTAATCTCTCATTTATTTAGATTCCAGTGGCATAATGTGTGTACTTCTACTTTCAATACTTACTGCATTTCATCGTAATTATTTATTCCTTATTTTCCCAGCCTAGAATAAGTTCTTCAAGGGTACATAGAGAATGTGTCTTTTTTTTTTTTTTTTAAGATTTTATTTATTTATTTGACAGAGAGAGAGACACAGCAAGAGAGGGAACACAAGCAGGGGGAGTGGGAGAGGGAGAAGCAGGCTTCCCACTGAGCTGGGAGCCCCATGCGGGGCTCGATCCCAGGACCCTGGGATCATGACCTGAGCCGAAGGTAGACGTTTAACAACTGAGCCACCCAAGCGCCCCGAGACTGTGTCTTATTCATCTTTTTATTGCCATGATCTGGCCTGGCCTATAGTAGGTGCTCAATATATCTTTGTTGACTTGAGTTTAATAAGGGTCATGAAAATTAATTTTCAGATTTATGATTTTGATTTTTTAAGTCAGACTCTTTTTTATAAGGTCTAATTATGGTAAAGGTGTTTTATATTTTCCTTTTAGGTTACATTGTACAGCATGTATGTTTCCATAATGGCTTTCAATGCAAAGGTTAGTGATCCTCTTATTGGAGGAACATATATGACCCTTTTAAATACTGTGTCCAATCTGGGAGGAAACTGGCCTTCTACAGTAGCTCTTTGGCTAGTAGATCCCCTCACAGTGAAAGAGTGTGTAGGAGCATCAAATCAGAATTGTCGAACACCTGATGCTGTTGAGGTAAGTATGTTGTAATTTGATTTATTTTTTATTATTTTTTAAAGATTCCACCTATTTATTTGGGAGAGAGAGAGCACGAGCAGGGTGAAGGGCAGAGGGAGAAGCAGAGCAGGGAGCCCAACGCAGGGCGCAATCCTGGGATCGTGACCCCAGCCGAAGGCAGACGCCCAACCAACTGAGCCACCCAGGCACCCCAGTAGGTTGTAATTTTAGATAACATTAAGCTAGTATTAAGATATCAATTTTCAGGGATGTCTGGGTGGCTCAGTTGGTTAAGCATGTGCCTTCAGCTCAGGGCATGTTCCCAGGGCCCTGGAATCGAGTCCCACATCAGGCTCCTTGCTTAGCGGGGAGCCTGTTTCTCCCTCTGCCCGCCGCTGCCCCTGCTCCTGCTCTCTCTCTCTTTCTCTGACAAATAAATAAATAAAATCTTAAAAAAGAAAAAAGATACTAATTTTCAGGGGAACCTGGCTGGCTCAGTCTGTGGAGCATGCCACTCTCGATCTTGGGGTTGTATGTTTGAGACCCACATTGGGTGTGGAAATTACTTAAAAAAATAAAATCTTAAAAAAAAAAGAAAGATTAATTTTCTTATTTTGCCTCTAGAAGTACTGTATCTTTTTAAAAAATCATATCTGCCCATAGTTTCTTCTTTTTTTTTTTAAGATTTTATTTATTTGACAGAGAGAGAGCACAAGCAGGGGGAGCAGGAGAGGGAGAAGCAGGCTTCCCACTGAGCAGGGAGCCTATTGCGGGGCTCCATCCCAGAACCCTGGGATCATGACCTGAGCCGAAGGCAGACGCTTAACCAACTGAGCCACCCAGGTGCCCCCTATAGTTTCTAGTGTAGAAATCTCTGTTTGGTTTTTTTTTCCTATCAGAACTGAGGGTTATAACACTTAAATCAGTAAGAGTAGCTCACGAAGATGCTTCTCAGCAAGGAAAGAGCAGTCTCTCTCCCCTTTACCTTGAGGATCCTATACAGTACGCACTTAATAAGTGCATAATTAACAGCTAAGTTTTATAATGATAAAAAAGGGAAATTCCATTGACTATGTAACAATTGTAGCTAAACCTGAATGGTTAGCAGTCTATTGTTAAATTATTTCAAATTAACATTAGCCCACTTCTAGAGTAGATTCATTGGAAATTTCTACACATTTCCCAAATATGAAAAGCTATATCTTCTTTTTTTTTTAAAAGATTTTATTTATTTATTTGACAGAGGGAGACACAGCGAAAGAGGGAACACGAGCAGGGGGAGTGGGAGGGGGAGAAGCAGGCTTCCCGCGGAGCAGGGAGCCCGATGCGGGGGCTCAATCCCAGGACCCTGGGATCATGACCTGAGCTGAAGGCAGATGCTCAACGACTGAGCCACCCAGGCGCCCCTAAAAGCTATATATTCAAAATGGAAAATGAGTATTGTTTACAGCAAGAGCTGAAAAATATTTTTAATCCTGTTAGTAGCATTAGAGAGATTAAGACATATTAGCATATTCACCATTTGAAATGAACAAAATGATGAAATGATTTAACAAAAATACATTTTGAAGGGAGCCTGGTTGGTTCAGTCAGTAGACCCTATGACGCTTGATCTCTTGGTCTCTGGGTTGTGAGTTCAAGACCCATGCTGGATTACTTAAAAAAAAAAAAATAATAATAATAATAATTAAAATACCTTCCAAAAAATTTTTTTTATTAATCCCTTAAATTACAAAGTAAAAACGTCTAAATTGCTGAATACTTCCGTTTTGAAATTGTGAAATATTTATTATAATTTTACTTTTACAGCTTTGCAAAAAGCTTGGTGGCTCATGTGTTACGGCGCTGGATGGTTATTATGTAGAATCCATCATTTGTGTTTTTATTGGATTTGGTTGGTGGTTCTTTCTTGGTCCAAAATTGAAAAAATTACAGGATGAAGGACCATCTTCATGGAAGTGCAAAAGAAGCAACTAATGCATTCACTACTGGACATTCTAGGAAGGTAACTGTAGTTTCATTTTAATTCAGACAGCTATGATAATCAGTGCACGGGAGTATAAAATAATATTTTAAACAAGGAAGTTACTAATATAAAATGCCAAATGATTAAAAAATAGAGACTCTCTGTATAGTTGATTATATTTTCCTTGCCTTGTCAGTGTATTTGAAGTTTACTTAAGGTCAGGAAATGGGTTCTTAAAACAAGTTTTCTGGCCTTGTTATTTGATTTATATCTTTTTAATTTACTGACCAAAATATGTTTTAACCTGCAGTGCAGTAGTCATGGGCGGTAACCATGCAGTCAAATATTGTTATCAGTACCTATCACTGAGCTGTATTTAAAATTTTAGTACAATATATTAAGTGGAACAGAGCTTGATATTCAGGTGCTAATTACAACTAGTCTGGCCTTGTTGGCAGTTAAATCTTATTTTGAATTGCAAATTGGTTAAATTCTATGTGGAATTTGCTGAGAAGAGAATGCAGACTACTGAAATGCCATTTTAGTTGTTATTTTTCTGACCATAACCACATTGTACTAATGAATCTGTGTTAAGAAGACTATTTTAAATGTATTTCCTGCTTTTGTAAGCATTAAAGATTTTTAAGAAGATTATTCAAACTATTTTTTTATAAAATGAAAGCTATGATTTTTAGTTTAATGATTCCCCTGTCCCCCTTTTTTGGAAGATATTCTGATTCCTTGTTAACTTTTACCCTAAAACTTACATGTGTTTTTGTCATAAGTGCTTCATGGCATACAGACAGCTCATGAAGGGATCTAATTTAGTGTTGTATGTATGTTCATGGCAAAGTTTTGAAAATAAAAAATGTTTTTCTTCAAGCAGTTTTTTTTATTACTGAGAGAAAAAAACAGTAAAGCTTTTCGATTAAATAAAATCTAAATGATTAATACCATAATTTTAAAGACTAATGCTTAGAGAGAGAGACAAAGACATTTTGTGCCTTTGACAAGTTAAATTATGTTGTGGAAGAATGTTTCTTAATTAAGCACTTTACTAGAGAGAAAAGATCTCACAGTTACTTTATATGAAATCAGGTACTGTATTCCCACTTATTAAAACACAACGTTCTGTTTGTAAACTGTAATGTCTGGTAGAGGATTGATATCCCAGGAAAATTAAACTTTTGAATACATTAGCAATTCCCAACATATTATGTACACCCAGTAATAAGGTTCTTTGCATATTTTGTGTTGTGTATTACTCTGACTCTTTAGGGATTATGTAAGTCATTCCAAAGTTATAGAAAAAGAAAGATTAAGTTGAGTCTGACTTATTTTTATCCTGTGGGAAAACATATACTAATTTTTGATTTTGTTAATTTTATAACATAGGTGGAATTTTAGAGTGGGGTTTTATATAAGTAATGGAGGATAAAATGGGTGGGAGAAAATGGCACTCAGCATCTGAAGATAGAGGCAGTTCTCTAGAACTCATGCATTGCCATTGGAAAGCCTGTGTTGGGCATCGATGTCAGATTCTGAAGAATCACCTGGAAAATCATCCTAGAAACAAGGAAGCTACACCAAACCATAGTCTCCCATACTTTGTCACATGGGTTGTCCATTATCATGTATTATAATCAAAATGTTTACTTGAATAAAGAAAAAAACCCACTTACTCTCATATGTGAAATGTATTTTGCTTTTTAAATTTTGGATTAAGAAGGTGACATTGCCATAATTACCTTTTGTTTCTTACCCATTCATATTAAAAATTTACATACTTTCAAACATACTTTGAAGTCAACAAATCTTTAATGACTTGAAGTATTAAAATATATTGTAAGCCTTTAACTATAAGGTAAAAGCCATTATTAATTGCATTTGCTCTAGAAATGAACATTTATTTTGAATTATAGTCCTTTGGTTATTTGGGTACACGCTTGTAACACATACCAAAAATGACTTCTTAATAGCTATGTGCAACTATATTGCATACATTGATTACTGATGGCATCTTACAAATGATCTACCTGAATCTGAGGATCTGTTCATGGTATATCAGTAGTACTAGAAAATACTACCTTTTTTGCATATGTTTTTCTTTACTGATAGATCCTGATAAACTCTGCCCTCAAGTATGAACGTTAACTCCTCCAGTTAATGTATTATACATTTACTAGCTAATATTCTTATAAATCTTACAATCTTATAAAAGATTAGCTAAGACTAAAACCAAAAATTCCTTCCTTTGTAAATATTTTAATTTTGCCTGATCAATCATAAAAAAAATTTGTTCAATACCTAAAATAGATTCCTCTATTTTTTTTAATATTAAACCTTTGAGATACAAATCTATTGTTTGATTTCATCTCTTTATTACAAGGATTTTTATCCTAAACAGGTGTCAGTGGGGCCTTGAAACCCCTGAATTGCTAGCAAAACTGGACATGTAATTATTTGTCTTTCTGGAGAGAGCTCTTGTTAAAATCATAAATGGTCTGTGATCCAAAAAAGTGTAAAAGCCATGACCTTATTGAATGTGGGCTCTGAATTGTAAACATAACTTTGAAATAATAATTGTGAAACTAATTGTTTAAAGCATCCTAAAAACAATGTTAAAAGAAAAATCTTATGATGAAAACTGGAAAATGTCTGCATTTGTAGTGGTGAAGTTGAACCTTGAACGGATTAGAGCAGGTAAGACATTACTGGTAGGGGAGAGTTATAAGGGTGAGTTCTGTCCCAAAAAAGAAATATCTTAGTCATTTAGTACTTCTTTCCTATTAATAATTTCTATTTTGTCCTGTTAACAGAAACCCAAAAAAGTATGTTGTTTTATATTAAATGGTTGAGCTCATTATTTAATATAACAGAAGACCAGGCTTGTTTTTATATTTTGGGGGATCATCTTTTTTCATGTGGTTGAAAGAATGAATAAAACTGTATGACACAGACCCTGCTAAAACTAAAGAACCAATTTGTTGGGGACATTCCATGCATATTTCCAAAATGTATTTTACCTTAGTATTAGAGAAAGAAAATAAGTTTTAAGAAATGATTCCATTATAGCTAGGATTAATATATTTAATAGCCATTTTCATTACAGGAGGAAAGGTGACAATAGTGTGTCGTACTACTGAGACTTCTTTTAACCAATGTCTTTGGTAGATAGCAAGGCGTAATTAATTGATTTTTCTCTTAGCAGATTTAAAATACCTATTATAGGCCTTATTTCTTTTTCCACTACAGCTTAATCTCTGCCTGATTTGACAGTGCCAAATGTTTAATGTAATCGCTATTTAATTTGGGACTGGGAGCCTTTTCATTTCCTACCTGTCAAAACTGCTATTAGAATCTTCGTTTTACTCCTTTAAATTGTTAGCAAGGTAAATGGGCACGGAAAACTTATATTTTTTCCTGGAATTCTGTTTTGGTAGAGTAAAGTCCTGATCAGGATGGAATAGTTAATGTGCAGGGCTCATGCCCTCTCCTTAAGTGAATAGAAACATTTTTTTATTTATCAGATTATAAATATTGCTTTTAAGGAGGGTTTTTTTTTTTTATGGAGTGGCAGATATTTTATAGGAGGAAATAGTTTTATGTAGCAAATGGAAAATTTTATGATTAATTATAATTTCTCTTTTAAAGAATTTGTCAGGTATATAATTTAAAAGATATTAAAACAGCAATATTTGCATAGTTTATATGAAGTCTTGAAGCATTGAGAAAAGGTTGCTACATTTTAATAGTTTTTTATTGGCAATATATAGAAATAACTTTTTATAACAGTTTTGTGTGAAGAGTAACAAATAACATGACTGAAATGAACAAGGTACCGGTATAATTCTTAGGGAATTATAAATCTCTCAGATCTAGTACTCTAGTCAATTACAATTAATCAGTCACTATTGTAAAATATAAAAATTAAAGACTATCCTTACTTTCATCAAAATGACCTTATATGTTGGAGAAAGTTTACTTTTTATAGCCTTATAATTAATGAAACTGAAATTTTTATCACGTGCATCTATAAAATTAGGAAAATAAATAATCGAGGCAAAAATCTGATATTTTAAAAAGTTAGTTTGGCATATTTGGTAAATTGATAGATTACCACTGTCAAGTTATATCAGTGAATCTAGATCTATTGTCCTCAGATACTGCTTTATGTAAGAATTAGTGTAAAATTGAAAAAATACGCAGTGTTAAAAGTTGTCATTGTTGGGGTCTTTATGAAATCACTGTATCCATGTACAGTTTTGAATTAAAAATGAACAACACAAAATAATTTATCATTTTTGAAAGATCTAACATTGACTTTGATAGTTTAGCATTATTTAAGTGTTTTAGTATATGTGAAATGTTTATTTGGTTAATTTATTTTCAAATGTTAATAATATTAAATATTTATGCAATGTTTAAATATTTGGAGTATATTTGAAATAAATTCTCCAGATTTTTGCATAAAGGATTATTTAAGTGCTCAAAATGATTGTTTTCACAATTGATCTCTAAAAAATAAAATATTGACAAAATATATTTGTTTTCATGTTTATTAAGTACTAGCCAAATTTACCTGCAAATGATTCATGTTAAAATTATACTAGATTGACATTATATAATTAAAAGCAAGGTAATTTCAAGAGGTGTACACCTACCACCAAACCGTTGTTTTTTTGTTTTTTTTTTAAATGAAGCCCTCCTGAATCATTGTATCTTCCATTAGTAACCTGGGTAAAAGGGACAATAGATGGAGGCATAACACTGTATGGATAGTTTGGGGTTATAAAGAATTTCACTGGGAAACTTTATTGTAAAATCTCTCTTTTTTTTTTTAAGATTTTATTTACTTGAGAGAGAGAACATGAGCAGGGGAGAGGGGCAGAGGGAGAGGGAGAAATAGACTCCCCGCTGAGCAGGGAGCCCATGTCTGGCTCAATCCCAGAACCCTGGGACTGTGATCTGAGCTGAAGGCAGATGCTTAACTGATTGAGCCACCCAGGCGCCCCTAAAATCTCTTATTTTTTAAACATTTGTTATTGGATATTGGCTTCTTTAGTAGTTACAATTTTAAAGAATTTATTTAAATTAAAAGACAGTTTGGGATTATAGAGAAAATACTGTTTCTCCACAGTTAGAACTTTCTGAGCAAATTTTACTAAAACTTGGGACCTGTGCTGAAAGAGAAGCCTTTGAAGCTAAGTTGTAACTGAATAGAGAGAAACCAGAGTGTATTAGTCTGCGAGGGCCATCATAACAACATACTACAGACTAGGTGGCTTAGACAGCCGAATTTATTTTCTCACAGTTCTGGAGGATGGAAATTCCAAGATCAAGGTGGCAACAGGTTTGGTTTCTCCCAAGGCCCATCTCCTTGGTTTAGAGACTGCCACTTTCTTACTCTGTTTACATGACCTTCCTCTCTGCACACACATTCCTGGTGTCTCTTCCTCTTATAAGGACACCAGTCCTACTGGATTAGGGCTCTACCCTTATTACTTTATTTAACCTTAATTACCTCTATAAAGGCCCTGGCTCCAGATATTGTGGGTTAGGGCTTCAACATATGAATTTGGGAGGAACGCAATTTAGTCAATAACACAAGAGATACTTCTCTGGTATGCACATTTCAAGGGGAATGAGACTTGGGAACATGGAAACATCTATGGGTTATAAATCTGGAGACATGTCTTGTTTTTCCCCTGAAGACATATCTATATTCCAAAAGGTAAGAACCCAGGATCCTTCCTAAGGAGAACTTGTTTATAGTAAGGACATAAGATTTCTCTTCCAGGCTCCTGGGTGGCTCAGTCTGTTAAGCGTCTGTCTTCGGCTCAGGTCATGATCCCAGGGTCCTGGGATCGAGCCCCGCATCAGGCTACCTGCTCAGCAGGGAGCCTGCTTCTCCCTCTCCCACTCCCCCTGCTTGTGCTCTGTCAAATAAATAAACTCTTTAAAAAAAAAAAAAAGATTTCTCTTCCTTTCTCTGAAAGAGAGGAGAACTTCCATATAGCTGTCCTGTGTAGTTCCCAGATTCATATTTTGAGGCTCCTCACCTATAGTGCAAACCCTAGAATATATAGTCTCATCAATCTGATAAGCTGTTATCAGTCTGGTTCTCATTTGTCACCACACAGGTGAGAATTGGTCTGTGGGGAACAAGTGTGGTTATTTTAAATAGTAATTAAATCTATTCCTGCTTAAGAAACGACATGTGTACTTCAGTACAATGTGAATAAATATAATAGTCATGTTTTATCTGATGCTTCTTGAATTGTGTTCTGTTTAATCCACATTTTTTTGCTTCTATTATGGTCAGAAGCCTAGAATAATGAAAGTCTGGGTGTTATTTTTTAAGTTTTATTTTTATTCTATTTTTTTACCCTATTGGCTATTCTTTATTTCTATTTTTTTAATTATTTTTAAAACATTTTTTTTAAGATTTTATTTATTTATTTGAGACAGAGAATGAGATAGAGCATGAGAGGGTCAGAGGGAGAAACAGACTCCCTGCCGAGCAGGGAGCCCGATGTGGGACTCGATCCCGGGACTCCAGGATCATGACCTGAGCCGAAGGCAGTCGCTTAACCAACTGAGCCACCCAGGCGCCCCTATTTTTAAAACATTTTTTAAAGATTTATTCATTCATTGGAGAGAGCAAGTGTGAGCATCGTGGGAGGGGCAGAGGCAGAGGCAGAGAGAATCCCAAGCAGACTCCCTGCTGATCATGACACAAGACTCTGAGATCATGACCTTAGCCAAAATCAAGAGTCTGACACTCAACTGACTGAGCCATCCAGGTGCCCCTTTAATTTTTTTTAAAATATTTTATTTTTAAGTGATCTCTATACCTGTCATGGGGCTTGAACTTAAAACCCCGAGATCAAGAGTTGCATGCTCTACCCACTGAGTTAGCCAGGTGCCCCTCTTTTATATATATATGTATATATATATGTGTGTGTGTGTGTGTGTATAAAAGTTTATTTAAGTAATCTCTACACCCAACATGGGGCTCAAACTCACGACCTGAGATCAAGAGTCACAGGCTCTTCTGAGCCAACCAGATGCCCCTTTATTTTTTATTTTTATTTTAATTCCAGTATAGTTAACATACAATGTTATATTAGCTTCAGTGTATAATATAGTGATTCAACAATTCTGTACATCAACCAGTGCTCATCAAGATAAGTATACTCTTAATATCCCCTTCAACTATTTGACCCATCCCTCCACCCCCCTCCCCTCTGGTAACCATCTGTTTGTTCTCTAGAGTTAAGAGTTGTTTTTTGGTTTGTATCTTTTTTTTTTCCTTTGTCCATTTGTTTTGTTTATTAAATTTCACATGGGAGTGAAATCATATGGTATTTATCTTTCTCTGATTTATTTTGCTTAGCATTTTATTCTAGATCTATCCATGTTGTTGCAAGTGGCAAGATTTCCTTTTTTGTGAATGAATAATATTCCATGTGTATATATACCACCTCTTTATCCATTCTTCTATTGATGGACACCTGGGTTGCTTCCATAATTTGGCTATTATAAGTAATGCTGCAATAAACAGGAGTGCATTTTTCATTTTGGATTAATGTTTTTGTATACTTTGGGTAAATACTCAAGAGTCAGTTACCGGATTATATGGTAATTCTATTTTTAATTTTTTGAGGAACCTCCATACTGTTTTACAAAGTAGGTGCACCAGTTTGCATTTTCACCAAGAGTACACGAGGGTTCCTTTTTCTCCACATCCTCGCCAACACTTGTGTTTTTGAAAGCCTGGGTTTTAGAACCAAGAGTTCTGTCTCAAGTGACTAGATGTTTCCTTTTATATTTTCTTCTGGTTCAAATGGGACAAATTATCCAAGTAGTTCAATTTAAAGTGATAATAGAAAAGTATACTCCTGTGGGTAGAAGACATTTTATATCTAGTATTTTAGTAGTAAGGTGTGAGTTGAAGCAAAAATTGGAGGTTTTTTTTTTAAAGATTTTATTATTTATTTGACAGAGAAAGACACAGCAAGAGAGGGAACACAAGCAGGGGGAGTGGGAGAGGGAGAAGCAGGCTTCCCGCTGAGCAGGGAGCCCGATGCGGGGCTCGATCCCAGGACCCTGGGATCGTGACCGGAGCCGAAGGCAGATGCTTAACGACTGAGCCACCCAGGCGTCCCCAAAATTGGGGGTTTTATCTGAAGGAATCTGACCCTATAAGTCAGGAAATGGAAATTATTATAAAAGCAGAAAGAAACAATTCTGGGTTAAAAAAAATGGTAAAAACCATTTCAAAATAACACTTTCACAGGTTTTTGAACATTTTTGTTTATTAGGTTAATAACTTCTGACAAAAGGAAAAATAAAGGTTTTGTATTTTTTTTGTCCTTTATTTCTTTCTAGTCCTCTAAAGAAAAAACAATTTTTTTAAGATTTTAGTTTTAAGTAATCTCTAAACCCAATGTGGGGCTCAAACCTACAATCCTGAGATCAAGAGTCGCATGCTCTACTGACTAAGCCAGCCAGGCACCCCCCAACATTTTTTTAAAATGCTGATCATGGGACATCTGGGTGGCTCAGCCTGTTGAGCTTCTGGCTCTTGATTTTGACTCAGGTCATGATCTCATGGTCATGGGATTGAGTCCCATGTTGGACTCTGAGTCTGCTTGTCCTTCTCCTTCCCCATCTGCCCTCCTCCCTCCCCCTGCTGTGTTCTCTCAAATAAATAAAATCTTCTAAAAAAAATGCTTATCAGATATTGCCTGAACTAAGAGACCAACTTATAGATGGGTAATGATGTATATATAGTCAGAGGTATACAAAAGCTATGGTTTTGCAGATTATAAGCATTGATTTATTAGGGATTACCTTTTTAACTGCCAATTTCTAATAAAATGAAATTGGAGGAGAAATAAAGACCATCAAAGTAAACAGGGTCTACACTAGAATATCAGCATTGGAAAGGAAAAGAAGAAATCGATTCTAGAGATTATGAAGTTGAATTACAAGGACAGGTGGTTGCTATAGGAAGCAAGGACATGAGCTTTTGAGTGTAGATGATTGTAGGAAATGGGGGTGGAAGAGTAGCTTTGAAAGAGGCAATTTTAATCAGAATATGGTAGAATGAATGTGAAAAGGGACTTGTTTCAAATTTATTTTCCTAAGTAATTGAGACTTGTCCATGGGAGGAGGTGAGTTCAGGATCTCCCTATGTCACCATCTTGAACTAGAACTTCTTGTGATTTTAATTTGCATTTTCCTAATGGCTAGTGATGTTGAACATCTATTCTTCCTCTAATACCATGTTCCCATTGCTTTTGTGAAGGTAGTATCCCATTGACTCTCCTGGAAGACATGTTCAGATAGAACATTCTCTGGTTTTATGTAGTAAGTCCATTCTAATATTGCGATCTTTCTTTTTGACGCATTCCTCATATTCTGCTAAGGTAGTTCTAGCATCTCCACCCTCATTTACTGTAGGCAACCATTGTGTCATTGCTTTAAGGAACCATCCCACTTGTGTAGTAGACTTGGCTTAGGTGTCC